GTGTTCAAAAGAATAGGTCTTATTAATTAACCATTATAAATTTTTGTGTTTGTATTGCAGGTGCCGAAAAAGTGATAATATCTTATCGCAGCGCATGTTTTCCTGCAGAAAGTGGTCGATGCTTGCTTACCTCCGATTTTAATTTTTAATTTGTGGTACTTCAACGTTTTCAACTTAACATGTCGTGTATAAAGTGGTCCGTAAAGTGCTCCATGCATATTACGCTGGTGCCTAAATTGTATGGCTTCTCCTGCCGGCAGAACTCTACCCACTTTCTGGCCAAGGCGTCGTCGCGGGGAAACAAAAAAAAAAACTGCATTTGAGGCTTTACCCGTACGTCTGCTGCAATTCAACACACGACACGACATTTTTATAAAGTTTTTATTACAAATAAAACGTTTTTTACTTCAGAACGCAGAATTATTACTTCGATATTCGATATACGTTTGCACTTGTTTCTAAACAAAAAGTTTGTTTACGTACATATTGCCATAAAGTCAAATTGCGTGCAGTGCGAGGTTGAGTACAGCTGAAATTTACCAAGGAGAAAATACGGATTTTGCAAAATTGATAAGGAGCAGAAAAAGGGTACCAAAAACCAATTGCATCTGCCATCGATCTTCTAGGATATTTCCAAGGTAAGAAAACCTGGCGTACCAGTCGGCCAGTGCGCTTGTCGCCATTTATTACGTTGTTGCTATCGCCATGACATTCGTCTTTTACCTTCCATGCCTTGCAGTCGTCTCAGCGTTTGTTCGCTTTCGGCAAATTTTTCAATTTGTATGTGTGTTGTGTGGAAAATCGACATCAGATGCAAAAACTTTCCAAGCGATTTGCTAATGGATTTCGTGGCTGCAGTGAAATATTCGAAAAGTTAAAAAGTGTATTTACTAGCTAGTGTTGGAAGGAAGGAAGGCGTGGTGGACGTTACAGATTTTCATTAAATCGATGAGTACTACACGTAGTCCTAGTGATTGGGAATTTTCCAAGAAATCTCATCTTCCAGTGAGCTTTATCAGAATAATTATTTATATATAGATAAAAATTAAATAAAATACAAGAAGCATCAGTAGCGCTAATCGTTGAAACGCGGTGGAGCAGCTGAAGCAGCACCAGCCGCAAAGGCAGGAACGACTTTTTTATAAAAGGCATCGATCAAAGATTATGGATCACAAGAAATCTCCTGTAAGAAGACAGAAGCGACAATCGAAAGCGATCGAGGAAAATTTCTGGGACTGCAGCGTCTGTACGTACAGAAATACAGCTGAGGCATTTAAATGCCGAATGTGCGACGTGCGGAAAGGTGAGTGACCCCAATACGAGTACGAACCATATGTAGGTATTTTGTGTAAATCCCATTGTGCATGTGTATAAGCATAATATGTGTACTATATATGCCGCCAGTAATCGGAGCCGCAACCATCACATGCGCCTGCAGGACGATTGTCTAATAAGTAATACCCGAACACTTGACACCTTACTGCATTGTTAGCTTCAAAATTGCAGCGCAGTTAATATTATTTGTAGAAGATATTTACAAAAACGCACTCCTATATACATTTGTATAAATATTTAAACAATTGCTAAACACATATTGTACTTATGGTAGGAACGAGTGCACGTACTTATGGTAGGAACGAGAGGTGCGCAACAAAACTTTGTAATGAGGCTGAGGCCAAACGTTGCGTTGATATGTAGGCAGCAGCAGCGCAATTGGAGCAAGAAATACATACATTCAGCAGATTTTACTACTGTATGGGAATGAGGTTGTGCACACGTATACCTATCAACTGGGTCGACTGCGCTGTTGCTGACGCCAGCGCGGTGTAGAGAATGAAATATAAACGATTAGCCAAGGAAAAGGTGGGACGATGATTGAAATAAATTTAGGCTGAGTGTGCATTATCTACAATTGGCGTCAGATTGCAAAACCCCCATTGACGTTACTCTGCCGAACCTCTGGCATATTCACATCTGATTATGCAGCCATATATTCAAATTAAAGTGCTCCTACATGCGCTCTTGCTTTTATTGCATTCCCATTCTATATTTACTTCGCATCCACAGCAATGTACATATATACAGTACGTCCTCGGTAAAAGCAGCACTCAATTAATGCAATACTTCGAGCAACACCCAAATGCTTATCATTGTTGACACACTCAAATCTGAACTTTTTGTGATTTGATTATTGCAACAACTTCAATCAACACAACTGCCCAAATTTTTACCAGTTGCTTTTACCAAGAGCGTACTGTAGTACGTATGTGTGTTTATTGTTTGATATACGGTTGCTGCTGCTATCAACTCTTTATTTCTTCATTTACATATCTGCTTTTACTTGGCTATTCTGCCTCATCATTTCTGCCAAGTTTTTATATTTTTTTTTTGTACGCTTGTTAGGTATACGATACATAGCCTCGTACATATCTATTTGGCATTGTTGATGCCATTGGAGGAAGAATAAGCGCAAAACGTAAATAACCACTTCCAAGAAGATAAGAAACAAAAGATAATCATAGCAAAAACATGGATTTTTACACATGCAACTATGTTGATCTTAGCGAGAATATGGCTTTTGTTAGGCGCTTACCCAATTCTGATATTTGTTTGTTTTTAACATGCCAAACTTTGAAAGCTAAAGAATTAATCTATGCTATTAAAAAAAATATAATCATTCTTATATGAATCTACTTCAATGGGCATATAACTCAAAAAAGCAAAACTCGATGAAAACGGCTTTAAAATTTTGAATTTTCGTACATAAATATATTCCCATAGTAAAAATGCATAAATTTTTTGTTCTAGTGAGATACTAGTAATCGATACAGCTATGAAATTTTTACACAACATAGAAGAAAAGGTCCATAGCATTACCTACTCAACAATTTTTTAGTATCATTCATATTTCCGATTGCAGTCTGGTGCCAATAATTCCCTGAAATTGATTAAATACACATGCCTGCGAAATATAAATTTTGTTTGCCCCTCCAATAATTATGTTAATTTTTTCAATATCTAGTTTTTTTAAATTAAAATGCATCTATGGTTTTTTTCTAACACGTCGAAGTGTTTTTGTATTGATGGATATTTTAGGATTTTTAGCAATTTTCACGATAATCCAAAAATTAATTATTTTACAATTTAATTTTTACTAAAAACCCCAACAACATAAGTTAAAAATACCCACAAATAGTTTGACCAAAATTTCTAACTTCTTAATCAGCATCTTTTGGTATGCAGTTTTGTAGCCCATTGAATTTTAGTACAATAAAGTGAAAATTTCGAGTAGCTAGGACCTACCGTTGATTTTTGGCAATTTGTTTGTTGATGGAGTTGCGCATTTTTTCCCTAAAAAAGTATGTGTTTAAAATGTTGGTCTATAAATTATTTTTAAATTCACACTATAGGTACTAATTCTTCTTTGCAGGAACCTCCACACGTAAGCCACGCTTAAATTCAGCTCTCGTCGCACAACAAGCTGCCACCTTGCCAGGCGCATCAGGCACCATGCCAAACGGCACAAAATCTGCATCAGGCTCACGACATGGAGCGGGACATGAGAAGAGCAAACACAAAAAGTATCCAGCTCGTTTGAAGAATGTCGATCGTTCGACAGCTCAAACGCGTGAAGTCACTGTGAATTCGGTGACAGTGTTCATTACAGAATATAAACCCAAGCCTGTGGGCAGCCGAAGGGAATCCAGTGAACAGAGTTTTAGCGAAAGCAATGATTCACGGAGTTAAATTTGTGAAGTACATACATATGTACATAAATGCAAATGTATGGGCTAACTATGAAATATGGCAAAAATTAAATTCAAATAGTAAAGATATTATTGTATTTTATTAGATAAGTTTATAAAAACATTGGATACAGTAAATGTAATTAGGCAAAATACAATTTTAGCTAACCAAGGAGACGAATAATTAATATATATGTAATAACTGCAAATAGGTTTTTTTTTGCAAATACGTTTGAAAATGACTGTTTGCCGGGGACTACATATTACTCACTATTGGAACGTGCCGTCAAGTCGGAGTATTGTAATATATTGTTTATTTTTTTGTACACCAATAATTTTCAGTTCTGATCTTGCAGCGTGCAAATAAGGGAATCTTATTTTTGATTTAGCACAGCCTAATAGGAGAGGGCTAACACCTCATAAGAATCGCAAAATACTGTGCAACAACACTGCCTTCAGTTTTCAGACTAGACATTATATAGCCAGGAATTTTTACATTCATAAAGCATATAAATAAAATAAATAAACATATTGCAAATAAGTGCACAGAACAAAGCGTACATACATACATAGATGATACTATCACAAAAACTTCTTAATAAAAGCAAAGCATAAATAAGTGACCAGCAACTCATGTTGCGCTCCACAAATTCAAAACAATAGACGATTCCTCACCGGCTGAACCCGATAAATTCTGCTACTGCGACCAATACATTTTAAGAGCACGTAATTCTTTATATGGTTGAGGGTTCAAGTGGGTTGCATGATATACTGTAAAAAAAAAACTACTATACTTTGTTAAATCCTTAAACGATATGTATTTGCATCTGTAAACGCTAATTTTCCGGTACATATGTACATACATATATAATGTCAGATGAAATTAGAAAAACCGAAGCAAATCAATTTTATCTTTAGACGATATGTTTTGATTTTTATACATATGTGTAAAAAGTAACGTTTACACATGCAAATACATAGCAATTTTAGCAGTTTTAAATTAATTCTTGTAAAGTTAGGCTTACAGTTTATAAAAAAACAAAAGCATGTAGAAAAGCTAGTATTCCACATGTATAAGTTTATTTTGTATTGAGTTCATAATAATTCATACAAAAATATGTGTAAATTTTCTGTATAAGTGTACTATCAATTATTTAATACTAAGTTGTTAAAGCGAAACAAAACAGTTATCACAATCCCTGTGCATATTTGTAAAGCTATTGTAAATAATGTAAGCTAAACTAGATTTATTTTGTTTGAACTTAAGAAATATCTAATTAGTGTTGAATATGGAAAATAATTCATCTGTGCTACTTATTGGTTGGAAGCATGTTTTCTTATAATACTATTTCATCTGTAAAACACTACAAATTAGTCATAAAAAGTATGTAAACCCCTTCTTTAGGTCATCAGAAAGGTTTCAATGCTTATCTCTCCGAATAACAACGTTAAATATCCTTTCTGAAAATGCGTAGAGCCGCACTAAATTCATTTCTTCTTCAAAATTATGTTAACGCTATCCTTTAAGAACTCTGAGCAAAAAATTATGTAATATAGAAGTAGAAAATGTATTTCACTGTAACACTTGTACTTCACATACAATATATTAAAAAAAAAAAATATGCAACATTTTGGTCATTTGATCCAAACAAAATTGCCGAATGAAAAATATTGGGCGATACATTTTTATGTATCTATGAATAAAAATTACTATAGTTGAATATTTCTCCTGCAATAATTTCGACGAATATCTCATATAAACAAAGTAAACATTCATTCATAATAACTTCAGAAAATGTTAAATTTTTTATGGCTGTCTTAAACACATTTATGCAAAGCATCAGTCTCTTTTTTGTTTCCAATTCATGTCTTATATCTAATGTTGAATAAAGTTGCGCAAATTTGATACTTTCGTTCTCTGTGGATCAGAAATAAAAGCGACTGAAAGCAATTACATTACAAAAACATGATAATTTTCTTTTAACAAAAAAGACTGATTATTCATATGAAATACAAATGAAAATATTAAGTTTTTGTTTTAAGACATTGTTATGTAACTCAAGCACGTCAGTGTGTTATTTTTAAATCCCATTTTCACTATTTTGTTTTTTGGCAATTATTGAATTTATAAAATTTGCGTAGATAAGCAATTTTTCAAAATTTGTATTGTATTAAGAAAATTAGTATTATTATTTTGGCACAGTGATTGCAAAGCTAATGCATGTTAATTATATTTTTGAAATATACTATATTTACATATTTTTTCCAACTTAACTTTTGTAATCTAATGATTATCTCCTTAAATGAGCGTTTAGTTAATGGCGACTAATTTAAATATATTTTTTTCAATTAGTTAATAATTTGTTTTAAAGTGCAAAAGTTAGATGTACATACATACATGTAGTTCATACAAACATACCTTAAAAAATTCGTTTGCTTAGTTTGTATGACAAAATTTCGAAATAACGATTACTTTGTACTAACAACAGTAGCGTCAAGCGAAGCGTAACTCTTTTAAACTAACATAACTATGTACATATTATGCAATATTTAAGTGCTGCACTTTTTTAAAATTGTAAGAAAAACCTTCGAATGTATGTACCTAATTGTTGCCCGCTTTTTCTTTAAATTTCAAAGAAATTTGTTCGAGTAGCTTTGCGACGCAAGTAAATTATGGGCGAATCAGACATTTTTCAATAGAAAATTATAATGTGGCGCTACAATTAACTTACGTTTTTTGTAAATTATTTAGGTGATTCCGTTAAACTCGAAGAAATTGCCAAATGTGAAAATTGACATAGAAATGTTGGCAGTGCAATATATTGATGCTTTTTCTAGTTTAAGGGAACACTCCTATTACTTTTTGATATACGCTCAGAAAAAATTAAAATTGATTTTGTTTAAATTATGTTCTTTAGTGAATAATCTTAGTTTAATTTCGTGCTCCCTTAGCAGAAAGGAAATACACTCCATAAACACAACGAACAAGCGCCGTTACCGATGGTGTGAAGAAATAGTGAACTTTTTTACAATCTCGCACGCATGCACCTACATAGGTATTTGTGTTTTTTAAATGCATTTATGTAGATGCATGTGTGCGTGTTATAGAAATTTTTGTATTGACATTTTTCTAATAAAAATTTTGCCTTTTCAAATATAGCATTAAGTTTTGTAAAACAATAAAATCAACATTTTGTATCAAACCGATATTAAAGCCTACACACTGACTGTGTGTGTGTATGATAAGTAATAGTAGAATACCAACCAAAATAAATATTATATAAATTACAATAGACAGCAAAGGCAATGGTAAAATTGCAGATTTCAACACATAATATACATACTTTAATACAAATGATTTAAAAAATGTAGATATCGGCAATATTAGGCTTTGCACGGCCTAAACATGAGCTTTGGTCCTATGCCAACTATTTATTACATATGTAGAAAATTCTCAATTTCTTCTGAACTGTAACTCGGATTTCTAAATGCCGCCATCGAAAGAGTTCAGCTACTCATGTATTTGTCACTTAATGCTAAATATAAAATACATCTTTCTCTTACACACATACATACATATTTAAACATAAACTGTTCAAATCACATCTATTGGTAATTGTCCTTCGCACTCGCACATTTCTCTTGGTGAAATTTAGGCAGACAGGAAAATAAATTTTCGCAGGCGTTAACAAAAAAAAAAATACATTTTATATATAAAAATACAGTTAGTAAACAAATTAAGTTTTTATGAAATCAGAAAAAAAAATTAATAGAACAAAAACTTTTGCAACTAGCTCAAATTCATTTTACACATTTGTGGTGGTAATTGACATAATTTGAGTTTGTTCATTTTGACATCATTATACTTTTAAGTTAGCATTAATATAATTAATACAACCAACAGTTACTGAAAGAAAATGTTTCCGGCATTTACACCATAATTTCATAATATACATATATGTATGTATATATGTATGTGCATACATATACATATGTATATATACATAAATAATTATGAATTAACTATTTTTTCAATTCTCTGTTGACAGCGTTCATGAAAAAAGGGTTTTAGGCGTTAGAAAAGCGAGACACGGAAATAGTAAGTAAATTTAGTTTCTAAAATTAATAAAGCAAATTATTGTATCATACATATAAAATTCAATAAGTTATGCGAATTGTAATTATGATTTTAAAAATGAATTCATAATATAACTATACATACATAAGTAAATATTAATAAAAAAAAATATAAATATATAATCATGTCTTCTTTTCATTCAGCATTTGCACGTTTTTTTGTTGTGATTTTGTCAGTGTATGTCAACTGCGTTTGAAGGCAAGGCACATTAATACAGGTAGAAGCCAAAATGACGTTGCTCTCATGAGAACCAAACCTTTAAACTTCAACTTGTTTTTCTTTTATTTCCTATATTTCGTCACGCTTTGAATGTCATATCGTTGGTTTTTTTTAATGTTCGTTAATAACAAATTTTAATTAACATGTGAATTTGAGTAGTGTTGTGCGGTTTATACTTAGTGTATGTGTTAAAAATGCAACACCTGAAGCGTTGTTTTTTATGTGGTTTTAAATATGAAGCAGATACCACTAATTGTTTTTAACGTGCCTCAATGTCCTTCGCGTAAAGAGCGTTGCGAAAACAGCTTTGGGGCAGAACTGCAGCGAAATGCCTTGCTGTGCGTTAAACATTTTAAAGCAGCAGATTTCATAAATGCACCGGGAGGTACAGGAAAGGCACTTTTGATACCAAGTGCTGTGCCGGAAAGTCCCTCCAACTCATAAATTAAAAACAGAAAACAACATACAAATTAACAAATTTTAACTAAAGAAAAAAAATAAAAACAAAACTTCAAATTTACTCAAAAACGTCAACCAGCGAAATGTAATTTTTTATTTTTCCTTACACACGCTCATTTTTATTTTTACTCTCCCGAAAACTTTGACTTTTGTAGGTTTGATGTCAATTTGGCTTCTGCCTGTGTTTATTGTACCATGGTTTGAAGGCGCCGTAGCATTCATTTTATGCAATATTTTTTTCTTTAATTACTCAATTTAAAAATTTTTTTCTTATTAAACTTTGAAATAAATGTCAAAAAAATACAATATTCAAATATTTTCGCTATACACTTGTATTCTGGTAAAAATTGCAAGCGAAGTGAAAGTTCGAAAAGTTCAAAAAAAAAATTTCTCGAGAACTAAAAATAAGCTTAAAACCAAGGCGAATTTATATAAGGTGGTATCGATTCAACAAATACAACATTTACTTGTATTTTGTATTTACTTTGAGCGGGCCATTGTCAAGTTTTAGCTATTCTTCCCCGAAGGGAAAATGTTGACAGAAAATACAAACACTCACAGAAGGCGCAGAAGGTGCAATAATGCGATTTTTTTGAATGCAAAGCAAAAAAGGATTCTTTATGCCGGGCAGAAATAGCGTGAAGAACCAAGAGGCAAAACAGCGTGCCAAACAACTAAAAACAGACAGCCGGTTCTACGTACCGGAATGACTCGGGTTTTACCCGACCAAGGGCTGTTGTTTCGGCGATCTAACCCCGTTTAGGTCGGCGAAATCCATCAAACGCTGCCATTGCAACGCGTGGTTCCCTGGAGAGAACCGCTCGAGATCGTTGTCTTGCGTAGGGTCGAATCTCGCCGTTATACTAAGGGCTCTATTCTGTATCAATTACAAATTCCTTTCACAGTTTTACGAAAAGAATATATAAAAAAGTATAATTTTGTCAGTTACAAAATTTGTGTCACCGATACAGAATTGGACTATAAGAGATGATCGTTACCCCGTTGATGAAGCAGTGGGAGGTGGAGTGACTTTCCAACTCTTTGACTGAAAACGTCTACATATCAATGGAGAGGAGGCGCGCTGAAAAGGAATTCCGTGGCTTAGCTTTTGTACGGCATTGTGCGTAGTCTGAATTAGCATATGTACATAGTGCGTGCGAAAAGTGGCAGCCAAAATGCTTGAGCTTTTTACGGCCGCAAATGGTTTTTCGACCTTGACGGTGTCGAATCTGACTTACTTGGTCCTTGATGAACGGGTCAACCTGCTTGCAGTGACGCAGCCAGAAAGAAAGATCGGAGACAAAGCTATTTACCATTCAACACAAGTAATCAATGTCATTGAACGACAACTATTATTGTCTCTTACAGACAGAGAAGACATTGGAGTACACTCTGTGTGAATGTCCGGCTAATCCTATGTTGGACAACTGTTTGCAAGGTGTATCTATCAAGGTGTTGTTGGGGCGACAGCTGAGTGGAGAGCATTACGTCAAAATGATGTGTTTATTGTAACTTATACCAATGACAGTATGGATATCTGCGTATAATTTGTTAGTGTAATCTTTTACTTATATACGACTAACACCACCTTGTTAAATACACCTTGACTGTTTCGTTGCCCTGTATTGGCCAGTAGAAAGCCTGTTAACAACTCTCACTTCGTACCTACCAAGCTGCTTGCCGTCCTCATTGTCCACTAAGATGAGCCTTGCTGTAAACAGAAGAGCCTCTTTCTTTATTACAATGTGTGGAGGAGGCAGTTTTTGTGGGTTTCCGAGCTTGGTTTGCATGCACTTTACTTCCGCTTTCTTTGGCCAGACGGGCACGGCAAAAGTTAGTATGAGTTTGGAGATGGCATCATACAACCATCTTCCCAGATTACTTAGATATGAGGCCCCAATTTTGTTTTGGCCCATAGGTTTTCAGCAGGTCCAGAGGGAGGCCCTTCCCTTTTGAATAGCTTTATGTAGGTGCGAATTCCTTTAGGGCTTGCCATAAGGGATAACCTCTTTAGATAAAGGTATCTTTTCTCCTGGAAGGAATGGTTCCAGTTACTTGTGTCGTCCCCTTTTTCTGGAGAAAATGACTAACTATAACTATGTGGTTCTTCTTGGTTTTTACGTTCTAACCTGTTTTCTGCATCATTTGGTGACTATGCTCAGCATATTCTTTAGGAGGTTGGAGATACTGTCTGTAAACTTGTCTCTGATTAGGATGACAGTATCAACCGCGAACAGCGCAGCAATTTTCTCTTAGAAGGCAGAGTAGTGCGTTCACCACGATGGAACAGAGGAGACAGGGGCAGATAAAATGCAAACTGCGGTTATCCTTTCGAAGCTAATAATAGGGTTATAGGGTTACAGAAAGATCTCCTGGATACACTTCAGCCTTATTCTACATACTAACTAAGTATCTATTTTAATGGGTGTATTTAAATACGTATGAGTGTAAAAAAGTACATACGTATATACGTAGTCGATTACGGTAGCAAATATAAAGTAAAATATTCACAAATATGCCAATAAAATCAAAAACAAGAAAACGATGCATATGGGGCATTTCAGCACAATTCGGACACCATTTCACTTTTGCATAATTTTTTATGTTATAGTTCCAATTGAGTGAGGTCTCCGTGATTTTTTTTCTAGCCGTTTCTAGTTATCGATTTTTGAAAAAAAAATCGTTTGTTTTTTAAAAGCACATAACTTTTCGAAAATACTAAAATTTTTTTCTGAAAATTTTCTTTTTCTAATATAAACACTTTTGATATCTGGAATCGAGCAAGCCATATTTCTATAAAATTTCTCTTAAATTTTCCAATTTTTAATATAAAATTTGACTTCCAAAAAACATGTGCTGGGTTTGTTTAAGGTTTTTGAAATTACCGTTACATGGGTGGAGCACCTGATTTTTGTCCGATTTCAATAATTTTCAAGATGTTGCTAGAGAAGGTCAAATGCACTGTGTGCACCAAATTTCGCCACAATCGACGAAGTAGTTTTTGAGATACACATATTTGATATAAGTGGGCGGGTGGCACGCCCATTTTCCTTAAATTTAATGAAATTTCTTAAGAGGCATTGTATACTTATATCAATTTTGAGTAAATATTGAATTCCGTAGCCCAACTGCTCAAAAAATCTGAACGTGCGTTGCATACACATATATAAATTCAAGGCCTTATTTATACTCAAATTGCTTAACTTCGTTAATTTTCATGCACTCAAAATAAATTTACTTTTAAATAATTACTACATATCTGGTAACTTTGATAGAAATTTTTGAAATTAGCGATGGTCAAAATTTAAAAAAATTAAGAAAAATGGAAGACATCCAAGTTTTTTCCGATGAAAACCCCCAACAAGTTAGGTCTAACAACATATGGTTATAGATGATTTTAAAGGTCCTCTTAAAAACTTGTATCATTTATAAAATCGAAAGAAAAGTAGTCAAGCTGTTAGTAGAAAAGTGCATGAAGTACAACAGCGGTTTTTAAAATAAAAAAATCCAGGGTTCAGGCACTAAATGAAACTTATTTTTAGAGTCCGACCGATTCCAATTTTTTTTCAGGTACCGATGCCGATGCCGATTAATGGGCTTATGGGGAAAGAATCGGCCGATGCTGATGCCGATGCCGATGCCGATTCCATAAAAAATTACAAATAAATGTATTAATTCATCAAATCAGTTCATTTCACGGAGTTAACAAAAAAAACAAAAGATAAGAAATAATTGAATTAATTAGCTTATTATGCAACGTTACATACACATGTATGTACATACATACATATGTATGTGTGAAAATATATGTACATATATTACATTTATGTACATTACATAAAACACTTTTTTTATGGTGCTAAGCAAAAAATATTTAGGAACATAAAATTTCGTTTTGTACTAAAATACACTCTGTTGCACTCAATGCATAAGAACTTATATGCTAGGTATGTATGTACATACATATAGTGGTCCACAAAATAAAAGAATTGCGATATTTTGACCGATTTTGTCTTTTTTATTTAATGTTTATTATTTTTTTTTTATAAAAGTCTAGCTGGTATACAACAAACACCATATAAATTCAGATTTCAAACTTTGTACAAAAATTAGAAAAATTCTGCTTATTTTCA